TCTTCCTCTATTCACCACCACGTCCCCTTCCGTCTTCCTTTATTCACCACCACGTCCCCTTCCGTCTTCCTCATTTCACCACCAGGTCCCCTTCCGTCTTCCTCTATTCACCACCACGTCCCCTTCAATCTTCCTATATTCTCCCTTCCGTCTTCCTCTTTTGACCACCACGTCCCATTCAATCTTCCTCTATTCTTCACCACGTCCCCTTCAATATTCCTCTATTCACCACCACACCTCTTCAGTACTCTCTTATTTACCACCACGTCCCCTTCAGTCTTCTCTTATTCACCACCACGTCCCTCTTCAATCTTCATCTATTCAACACCACGTCCCCTTCAATCTTCTTCTATTCACTATCACGTCAGATTCAATCTTCCTCTCTTCACCACCACGTCCCCATCCGTCTTCCTCTATTGACCACCACGTCCAATTCATTCTTCCTCTATTCTCCACCCCGCCCCCATAATATTCCTCTTTTTACCACCACACCCCTTCAGTCCTCTCTTTTTCAGCACCACGTCCCCTTCAGTCCTCCTCTATTCACCATCACGTCCCCTTCCGTCGTCCTCTATTCCTCTGTTCCCCATCACGTCCCATTCAATCTTTCTCTATTCTCCACCACTTCCCCTTTCGTCTTCCTCTATTCACAACTACGTCCCCTTCCGTCTTCCTATCTATTCTCCACCACGTCCCCTTCCGTCCTCTCTTATTCACCACCACATCCCCTTCAATATTCCTCCATTCACCACCGCACCTCTTCAGTTCTCTCTTATTTACCAACACGTCCCCTTCAGTCTTCTCCTATTCACCACCACGTCCCATTCAATCTTTCTCTATTCTCCACCACTTCCCCTTTCGTCTTCCTCTATTCACAACTACGTCCCCTTCCGTCTTCCTATCTATTCTCCACCACGTCCCCTTCCGTCGTCCTCTATTCCGTCCCCTTCAGTCCTCCTCTATTCACCATCACGTAATATTCCTCTATTCACCACCATGTCCCCTTCTGTCCTCTCTTATTCACCACCACGTCCTCTTCAGTCCTCTCTTATTCACCACCACCACACCCCTTCAGTCCTCTCTTTTTCAGCACCACGTCCCCTCCAGTCCTCTCTTATTCACCACCACATCCCCTTCAATATTCCTCCATTCACCACCGCACCTCTTCAGTTCTCTCTTATTTACCAACGCGTCCCCTTCAGTCTTCTCCTATTCACCACCACGTCCCTTTCCGTCTTCCTCTATTTACCACCACGTCCCCTTCCGTCTTCCTCTATTTACCACCACGTCCCCTTCCGTCCTCTCTTATTCACCACCACCACACCCCTTCAGTCATCTCTTTTTCAGCACCACGTCCCCTCCAGTCCTCTCTTATTCACCACCACATCCCCTTCCGTCTTCTTCTTTTCACCATCACGTCCCCTTCAATCTCCCTCTCTTCCCCACCACGTCCCCTTCCGTCCTCTCTTATTCACCACCACCACACCCCTTCAGTCCTCTCTTATTCACCACCACGTCCTCTTCAGTCCTCTCTTATTCACCACCACCACACCCCTTCAGTCATCTCTTTTTCAGCACCACGTCCCCTCCAGTCCTCTCTTATTCACCACCACGTCCTCTTCAGTCCTCTCTTATTCACCACCACCACACCCCTTCAGTCCTCTCTTATTCACCACCACGTCCCATTAAATCTTCCTCTATTCACCATCACGTCCCCTTCCGTCTTCTTTTATTCTCCACCAAGTCCCCTTCCGTCTTCCTATATATTGTCCATCACGTCCCCTTCCGTCTTCCTCTATTCTCCACCACGCCCCCATAATATTCCTCTTTTCACCACCACACCCCTTCAGTCCTCTCTTTTTCAGCACCACGTCCCCTTCAGTCCTCTCTTATTCACCACCACATCCCCTTCCGTCTTCTTCTATTCACCACCTCATCCCCTTCAATCTTCCTCTATTCACCACTACGTCCTCTTCCGTCTTCCTATATATTGTCCATCACGTCCCCTTCCGTCGTCCTCTATTCATCTATTCACCACCACGTCCCATTCAATCTTCCTCTATTCTCCACCACGACCACTTCCGTCTTCCTCTATTCTCCACCACGTCCCCTTCCGTCTTCCTCTATTCACCACCACGTCCCCTTCAATCTTCCTCTATTCACCACCACGTCCCTTCAGTCCTCTCTTTTTCAGCACCACGACCCCTTCAGTCCTCTCTTATTCACCACCACGTCCCCTTCCGTCTTCTTCTATTCACCACCTCATCCCCTTCAATCTTCCTCTATTCACCACCACGTCCCCTTCAATCTTCCTCTATTCACCACCACGTCCCTTCAGTCCTCTCTTTTTCAGCACCACGTCCCCTTCAGTCCTCTCTTATTCACCACCACATCCCCTTCCGTCTTCTTCTATTCACCACCTCATCCCCTTCAATCTTCCTCTATTCACCACTACTTCCTCTTCCGTCTTCCTATATATTGTCCATCACGTCCCCTTCCGTCGTACTCTATTCATCTATTCACCACCACGTCCCATTCAATCTTCCTCTATTCTCCACCACGACCACTTCCGTCTTCCTCTATTCTCCACCACGTCCCCTTCCGTCTTCCTCTATTCACCATCACGTCCCCTTCAATCTTCCTCTATTCACCACCACATCCCCTTCCTTCCGTCTTCCTCTATTCACCACCATGTCCCCTTCTGTCCTCTCTTATTCACCACCACGTCCCCTACAGTCTTCTCTTATTCATCACATCACCTTCAGTCCTCTCTTATTCACCACCACGTCCCCTTCAATCTTCCTCTATTCACCACCACATCCCCATCCGTCGTCCTCTATTCACCGCCACATCCCCTTCCGTCTTCCTCTATTTACCACTACGTCCCCTTCCGTCGTACTCTATTCATCTGTTCACCACCACGTCCCATTAAATCTTCCTCTATTCACTATCACGTCCCCTTCCGTCGTCCTCTATTCATCTGTTCACCATCACGTCCTATTCAATCCTCCTCTTTTCACTATCACGCCCCCTTCCGTCGTCCTCTATTCCTCTGTTCACCATCACGTCCCATTCAATCTTCCTCTATTCACTATCACGTCCCCTTCCGTCTTCTTCTATTCATCTATTCACCACCACGTCACATTCAATCTCCCTCTATTCACCACTACGTCCCCTTCCGTCGTACTCTATTCATCTGTTCACCACCACGTCCCATTAAATCTTCCTCTATTCACTATCACGTCCCCTTCCGTCGTCCTCTATTCATCTGTTCACCATCACGTCCCATTCAATCTTCCTCTATTCTCCACCACGTCCCCTTCCGTCTTCCTCTATTCACCACCACGTCCCCTTCCGTCTTTCCTATTCACCATCCCGTCCCATTCAATCTTCCTCTATTCACCATCACGTCCACTTCCGTCTTCCTCTATTAACCACCACGACCTCTTCAATCTTCCTCTATTCACCACCACGTCCCCTCTCGTCTTCCTTAACATTCACAACCACGTCCCCTTCAATCTTCCTCTATTCCCCACCACGTCCCCTTCAATCTTCCTCTATTCACCACCACGTCCCCATCCGTCTTCCTCTATTGACTACCACGTCCAATTCATTCTTCCTCTATTCTCCACCACGCCCCCATAATATTCCTCTATTCACCACGACACCCCTTCAGTCCTCTCTTTTTCAGCACCACGTCCCCTTCAGTCCTCTCTTATTCACCACCACATCCCCTTCCGTCTTCTTCTATTCACCACCACATCCCCTTCAATCTTCCTCTATTCACCACTACGTCCTCTTCCGTCTTCCTATATATTGTCCATCACGTCCCGTTCCGTCGTCCTCTATTCATGTATTCACCACCACGTCTCATTCAATCTTCCTCTATTCTCCACCAC